TTCTTCCGAGAGTCGAGCAGGGCGCGCCGTCGAGCATTGCCTTCCGCCCGCCGGCCGCGGCGCTCCAGGGTCGCCGCAGCCAGCCAGTGGGCCCCTGCCTCTGGGCGGCGATTCCGGCCCGCCAGGCTCCCTGATACCCCGCGCATGGCCTTTGGGGGCGGCAAAGAGGGGGGTGATGACTAGGAGGGGGTGGATATCATGGCGTGGGACATGATATTTCCCCAGATTTCATGGCGCCTCTTCTTTTTTCATTACGTCCCTGGCCCCCCCGCTGGGCCGCGCACATGCCGCCGGTTGGCCCGCGCGAAAGCGACCTGCTGCAGCTCGTTGCGAGGAGCAGCCCGGTGGGCGAGCAGCGCCCGCCACAGCGCTCCTGCGGGCGAGCCAGGTGTTTCGGCGGCGGGCGCCCGCGTCGTCGGGCTTGGAGCCTGGAGAAGCGACGCCACCGCCACAGCGGCGAGGAGCCGAGGGCGGGAGGGGGGGGAGGGCGTACCCCGATGACGAGCCAGCTCGGGGAGGTATCGTGGGCGCTCCGCTTGAGGTAGCCTCCTGGCGGTGGTGCAGTTTCGCCTTGCCCCGGATCCTGAGCAAGGCCTGCAGGGGCGTGCTCTGGCGTAGTCTCGCAACCCTCGTGAGCTGCGCCTCAACCTCGGCCGCCCGCGGAGGGAGAGCCATGCGCGCAAGCGATCGCCAGCGACCCCATTCGACCAAGCAGGCCTTTTAATCCAGCCTCGATCCCAAATTACTCCTGAACATCATCATCGCAGATCGTCGCCATCACTGCTATTGCCTGGCCTGGCCACCCAGTTGACGAGGACAGCGCAACGGCCGCCACCCAGGTGGAGGGGAGGGTGGGAGAACAGCGCAACGGCCGCCACCCCGAGGATACGAGCCTCCTCTGCCTCCGATCCATGTATACATACACGAACTCACACACGCACGCACACGCATTCCCGCGCATACGCTCGTGCACACACACACACACACGCGCTCACACACAGACACAGACACAGACACAGACACAGACACAGACACAGACACAGACACAGACACAGACACAGACACAGACACAGACACAGACACAGACACAGACACAGACACACACACCACACACACACACACCCACCCACCCACCCACCACCCACACCACCCACCCACCCCACCACACCCACCACCACCACCCCACGCAGCATACGCACGCACGCACGCACGCACGCACGCACGCACGCACGCACACGCACGCCACGCACGCACACGCACACGCACACGCACACGCACACGCACACGCACACGCACACGCACACGCACACGCACACGCACACGCACACGCACACACACACACACGCACACGCACACGCACACGCACACGCACACGCACACGCACACGCCACGCACACGCACACGCACACGCACACGCACACGCACACGCACACGCACACGCACACGCACACGCACACGCACGCGCACACGCACGCGCACGCGCACACGCACACGCACGCGCACACGCACACGCACACGCACGCACACGCACACGCACACGCACACGCACACGCACACGCACACGCACACGCACACGCACACGCACACGCGCACACGCACACGCACACGCGCACGCGCACGCGCACGCGAACGCGACGCGCACGCGCACGCGCACGCACGCACGCGCACGCGCACGCGCACGCACGCGCACGCGCACGCGCACGCGCACGCGCACGCGCACGCGCACGCGCACGCGCACGCGCACGCGCACGCGCACGCGCACGCGCACGCGCACGCGCACGCGCACGCGCACGCGCACGCACGCGCACGCGCACGCGCACGCGCACGCGCACGCGCACGCGCACGCGCACGCGCACGCGCACGCGCACGCGCACGCGCACGCGCACGCGCACGCGCACGCGCACGCGCACGCGCACACGCGCACACGCACACGCACACGCACACGCACACGCACACGCACACGCACACGCCACACGCACACGCACACGCACACGCACACGCACACGCCACACGCTCACGCACACGCCACACACGCACCACGCACACGCACCCACCCACACACCCACACACCCACACACCACACACCCACACACCCACACACCCACACACCCACACACCCACACACCCACACACCCACACACCCACACACCCACACACCCACACACCCACACACCCACACACCCACACACCCACACACCCACACACGCGCGCACGCGCGCACGCACGCACGCACGCACGCACGCACGCACGCACGCGCACACACTGTTCATCCTCTGCACTCCCTGCCGCCCCCGGAGAGAGAAAAAGGAGGAGGAGAAGGAGAAGGAGGAGGAGGAGTCCTGGAACAAAGGAGGAGAAGGAGGAGGAGAAGGAGGTGCGCCCCCCAGCGCATCTCCTGCACGCCCGATCTTCCCCTCGGTCCGTGGGAGCAGGGCGGCAAAGGGGCGGGAGGTGGGCGACGTGGGGAAGGAAGGTGCTGGAAGACGAGGAGGAGGAGGAGGAGGAGGAGGAGGAGGAGGAGGAGTAGGAGGAAGTGGGCGCCCCCGCCGTGCAATTCCAATGCCGGTCGGGAAGCCCTCCTCCATTCCTCCCCCCCGCTGCTCCAGGTGGCGTCCTCCGAGGAAGCACGAAGACGGCACAAGGATATACGTTCGGCGCTCTGGGCAGATTCCTTGGATCTGCGCTGGGGCCCCCTGACGGCGCCTCAGTCGACGTCCCTGGCGCGCTCCAGTGCGGCGCAGATCCAAGAAATCCGCGCGGGCCTCCGAGATTTTCTGTTCATGCCCTTCTTTGCTCCTGGAGTCCTGGGCGATCGTGTGATGGGCATGCTTTCAAACACCACCACCACCATTAGTTGGGGGGGGAAGGAGGTGGAGAGCGAGTAGGAGGAGGAGGAGGAGGAGGAGGAGGAGGAGGAGGAGGAGGAGGAGGAGGAGGTAAAGGACCCCCTTCCCCTATAAATTCTGGTGGCGGTGGTGGTGGAGAGCGAGCCCATCGTCGTGAGCGGTGGCTTTTTCTACGTCCTCGCCCTGCTCTCGTGGGGCTCGGGCCGCGGGGTGGGCGCTCCAGCAGCTGCGCCCTGTCGAGAGTGCCCCGTGGAGGCCGGCGGCTTCCCCGAGGCTGGGGCCCGAGCTCCTGGCCTTATGTCGGGCGTGTCCCCCCACAGGGGGATTTTCGACGAAAACTAGAAAAATACCCCGAACATAGTTAAAAAGATATTCCAAAAATAGCATGGGGGCACTTTTTGAATATTTTTTGCCTTTTTGGGGTGCTTTGGGGGTATTATGTTTTCCGTCGAAAATCTCCCTGTAGGGGGACACGCCCGACATAATCCTAGCCCGGCAGGTGGCAGGCGGGAGTTCTGGTGCTGCTGGAAGCGGGTATAGCCAGGACCCCAGGTAAGGGGACCCTGTTAGTGTTATGTCGGGCGTGTCCCCCTACAGGGGGATTTCCGATGAAAAATTAAAAATACCCCCAAAATAACAAAAAAATCAACAAATAGTCTGGGAACGATTTTTTTAGTATGTTTGGACCTTTTTGGGGTATTTGGGGGGTATTTTAAATTTTTCGTCGTGGAAATGGGACGGGGGGGCGCCCCCGGTACAAATCACTAAACATGAGAGTGTTTTGTCTATTGTACATGTTCTTCTCTCCATGAGAGTGCTTTTCCATGACGCGCGTTATGCCCCCCACCATCCCCCCCTTTCGCCCCCCCCCCCCCCCGTAACGTAACGCTCCCCCCCTCAGTGCGTCCCTGGCACTGCCGCAGCACGTGTGGCACGGAGTCTGGGGGGGGGGCGCTACGTGATGCCCCCTCCCGTCCCCGTCCTCCCCCTGCTCTCCCCCCCATAACTCCCGTTATGGCTGCGAGTAAAAGAAGGCGTGCTTAGGAACCTTGAAAGCCGCGAAGGACAACGGTTCTCAGGTTCTTAGGGAGCCTTGGCACCTTGAATGCTCCTCAAAACAAAGCGCTGCGCATGGCCGCGAAGGGAACACATCGCCGCGTCCTCGACCACCCCCTCCCCCCCCTGCCGAGAGGTCCGCGCAGCTCTTCGGCGCCGCGCGCCAGGGGCTGCGGGTCTGCCTCCTCAACGCCTGCAGGCGCCCGGCTCCCCGTCGCGCTCACGACGACGACGGCGGCGACGACGACGACGACGACGACGACGATGGTGACGATGGTGACGACGACGGCGACGACGACGACGGCGACGACGACGGCGACGACGATGGTGACGACGGTGACGACGACGACGACGAGGACGACGACGGCGACGACGACGACGACGGCAACGACGACGACGGCGTCGGCGACGGCGACGGCGACAGCGACGACGACGGCGTCGGCGACGGCGACGGCGACAGCGACGGCGACAGCGACGACGGCGACGGCGACGGGGACATGTTTCGATACCGCTAGTCGCCCTGAAGAGTCCACGCGACCACGCTTAGATTCTCATCGACATCCTGGTGAGAGCACACCCCGGGAAAGGTCCAGGGAGTGACGGTATGGTTATCTTCTTTCGGAGGAGGGTTAGTTGAGACAACGTTCCATCCTGACATGTTTTTCGAGGCGGATCCAGCCGTGGCGACAAGCCCTGAGGGGGCCTAGAAAACACGAAACATTGGGCCCCCGTTGTCTTGATTGGCCTCCGATGCCTGTCACCCCCTCAAGTGTCGCACGTGAGCCCAGCATCGTTGCCACCTCAGCGCGTGATTGCACATACCTTGCTGCCGCAGCTGCAGGCGCGCATGCATACGTGCACCTATTGCGTGAATCTGTTGAGCGACCCGTAGCCACCGAGGCTCGAATCTAGAAGCCCGAGGGGGAAGTGAGAGGGGGTGGGCCTTCTCAGAAGGCTCAGACGTCTTCGGCCGTCTGATAAATGTTGTATTAAGCTTTCCACGAAGACGCAGGGGTCTTCTCGGAAGGCGCGAGGGCCTCTGAGAAGCCCCGCCGCTTCCTGAGGAGGCTTCCTCCCTCGCATTCCGCCCCCTCGCTCGCCGCCGGGTGACAGGCGGGCACACACCGCGCTTGATATCAAGGGAGGAAAAGCCACCCGGACCCGACAATTGGCGTGTATTAGACGGCCTTGGGCGTGTAGTGAACAGCCCGGACCTGTTCGATTCCTTCCCTGGGTGCGTTTGCTACTCGGCCTCGCTCGTCGGGGTGGATTCTCTGCCCTCTACCGATAGCTCCGCCTCTGCGGCGAGAACGACGGCGCGGAGCGGAAAAGCGCCCGGCCCCTGCCAGACCTCCCGCGGGCGCCCGGGGCGCCCACGGGAGGTCTGGCCATGGATGTTCTGTCGTGAATGTTTGTTGTGGTTGTTTGAGGTTCCTTTGGTGTTTCGATGCGAGTGTGAGAGGCCCTTTGCAATGCCTTTCGCGCGCCATGCTGAATTCCTAAGTTCAGGCATCTTTTCCCGATGTATGTAAGCCCCCCGTCGGTTCACATAGACCCATCTTATATTGGCGGGAAAGCACCCGTAACCCTAGGACAGGACCTCCCGCGGGCGCCCCCCGTCCCGCCACGGCCGGGCTCCGGCTCGGAGGCTTCCCCGGCCTCCGAAGATCCGCGCCGCCCTAGTCGGCCCGGCGGGCCGCTCCGCCTCTGCGGGGCCTGAGTCGCCGACGGCGGCGGCGGCGGCGGCGGTGCCGCGACGACGACCCGCTGTCAGGAGGAGGACTGGGAGAACGAACAATGACAGAAACACAAAGACACGGAGGTCCGCGCGGATTTCTCGGATCGGCGCTGGAGCCCCCTGGCGGCGCCTCCGGCGCCGCCCCCGGCGCGCTCCGCGCGCCAGGGAGGGGGGTCCAACGCCGATCCGAAAATCCGCGCGGACTTCCGAGTTTTTATGTCTATGTCATTGCTCGTTTCCCTAAGGACCGGTCGGCCACGCGCAGAGGGGGATCGGGGGAGGGAGGGAAGGCCTCTTGGGACCACCCCTGCTTCTTAGAAGGCGCGGGTCTTGTCTGTAGATGCAGGGCCCGCGCCTTCCAAGAAGCGGCCTCCTTGTAAGAAGCCTTCCCCCCTCCGCCTACCCCCTCTGTGCGCGCCGCCGACTGTGTCTGAGGTGGATCGCGGCGAGGTCGGCGGCGGCAGCGGCGGTGCGGCGACGACGACCCGTTGTTAGGAGGGGGATCGGAAGCAACAGTGTGGGGGGGTGGCTGTAAATAGTATGGGTTTCCGATACCCTCCACGCTCAGGCGGGACCTCCCTGGAGGGATGGGAGGGGCAGGAAACCATGTAAATAGTACTGGGTTCCGATACCCTCCTCGCTCAGGCGGGGCCTCCCTGGAGCGCATCGGCCCCGCGTCGCCCATCGATCGCTGGTAGCCGAGCACCAAGGCGGCAGCAACATGTGTCTCCGAGGTCCGCGCGGCGGATCTCCCGGATCGGCTTCGGGCCCGGCGGCGCCTCCGGCGCCGCCCCATTAGTGCGCTCCGCGCGCCAGGGAGTGGAATCCAGCGCCGATGCAAGCAATCCTCGGGGGCTGCTTTCCATTGGTCATGCATTGTGGCTCCTGGACCTAACACAGCGCTAAGATAACGAACGCACTGCGCAACCTTAAACCTTGACCACTCTGGAACCAAAGAATTTCCGAGATCTCCAATCTCGTTTCTGCGGTGGCCGCGCACCACAGCAGAAAAGGAGGAGGAAAAGAAGGAGGAGGAGGAGGAAAAGAAGGAGAAGGAGGAAAAGAGGGGGGCGGACAGACCTCCTAATTACCCTGACACGTCGATGAAGGAGTTGGCCTTTTTCGGTTCGCGAGGGGGCGCCGCGGCCATCCTTTTTGCGGGTCCAGAGGTCCGTCGGTCTCGGCTCCAGGCCGTCTTTTTACTAAGGGGAGGTTTTACGAAAGGGAGGCTTGTCCACCGCCGAACTCCGCGCGGACCTCTGGGAAATGATGCTCATGCAGGTTTGCTCCTCTACCATCGATGGCCGGTAGGGGGCGCCCCTGGTGCGCTCCGCGCGCCAGGGAGTGGAATCCAGCGCCGATGCAAGCAATCCGCGCGGACCTCCGAGAAGTGCTGCTCATGCAGGTTTGCTCCTCCACCGTCGGTGGCCGGTAGGGGCCCGGCAGCCCGCCCCCGCCCGTTTGCCTTGCCGACTGCACATCTGGGGCCGATGTTTCGGCGACGCACCGCCGAGTCGAGCTCGATGCTTCCCCCTCCTCCCTCCTCCTCCTCCTCCCCCTCCCTCCTCCTCCTCCTCCTCCTCCTCCCCCTCCTCCTCCTCCTCCTCCCCCTCCTCCTCCTCCTCCTCCTCCTCCTTCCGGCGACGTATCGCCGATTCGAGCTCGATGCTTCCCTCCTGGGCTGGTCCCCCCCTGATGTTGCCCCTGATGAGGAGGTGGAGGGAGGGTGGGGCGGGGGAGCCCCCCACGGGCGGTGGTCGTCGTCGCCGTCGCCCCGGCGGGATGCAGTGCGGTCGGCTCCCCGGAGCTCTGGCAGGCTCGTTTCTCTCCCTTGTGCCCTGGCGCCTTCCTTGCGATTCGGCGTCGGTGGGAGCGGGGGCGTTTTCTGGGGGCCCCAGGGCAATCAGGGAGGAATCCGTGCGACGGGCCCCCCGTTCGGCTACACGCAGGGGCGACCCGGCGCCAGAGCGAACTCGTGGCGCGCGGTTTCGTCGGGGGGGAGCCCAGGGGGGGCAGGCCCCACGACCGCTGTCACGCCGCACCGCGCGTAGCGATCGCCACGCCACGCCCCCGGAGCGACCTGCCACAGGGTCACCCCGACGTGCCTCCTCGGTGGCAGCGTTGGCTGAGGGGAGAAAGAGTCGACTCCTCCTCCTCCTCCTCCTCCTCCTCCTCCTCCTCCTCCTCCTCCTCCTCCTCTTCCTTCTTCTCCATTCAGCTGCCCCTTCATCGCCCAGAGGGCCCCGATAGCCCAGCCCGCCCAGGACTGTGCGGGCTCACTGTCCGCGGCCTTCCGTCAATCCATCGGCGACGTGTCGCCGACGCAAGCTCGATGGTTCCCCCCCGAGCCAGTCCCCTCCTCACGTGGTCCCTCGCTTCCTGCTGTCGGGGAAGGGCCACCGGCCCGAGCATAAGTGCTCGGCGGTCCGTACGGACTGTCTGGATGGGCGCAGGGCCCCCCTGGCAGCTGGCCCACTTCAATGCACCCGTGCACTACGATCATAGAGCTCCCCTCCCAGCGGACTGGGTTTTCGGATTTTAATTCAAGGGCCCCCCCTCACGTTGCCCTTCCTATGTCCAGGCCTTCAGTTCGGCTCCGAGTTGATGAGGTCGACGGATCGCGCCGTATCGCCGATGTGGCTCGATGTGGAGCCCGATTTCTCCACGCCGACGGCGCCGATGCACCGCCGTCGTCGCCGAGGCATCGCCGAGGCACCGGCGACGCGGCGCGGTGATCCGACCGCATCCACTCGGACCTCACCTATCGGAGGTCGATACACCTCCTGCCCTGACACGTCGATTGGTGAACTGGCCGTTTTCGGTTCGCGAGGGGGCGCCGCGGCCGTTATTTTGCGGGTCCAGGTCCGTCGGTTTCGGTCCCAGGCCGTTTTCACTGAAGGGAGGTTTACCAAAGGGAGGTCTGTCCACCGCCGAATCTAGGAGGCGCCCAGTATCCGACCCAGGGAAAAGCCGCAGCTGTCCGGGAGCCGCCCGAAAGCGCGCGCGCGCGGAGGCCCCGCGCCCTGGAGAGCGCTGCTCTCCCCCGGCCGCGGGCGGGCGATCGCGGGCGCGCCGCGCTCCTTTCAGCGCGCGCGCAGGGACTGCGCGGCGGGCGGAGCGCCGGACGCGGCGACGGCGGACTTCGCCCAGGTGCTGAAGGATGGCGCGGTTGTGGTCCGGGGGCCAAATTCGGGCCGGACGAACGGGGGGGATTGGGAAAGGGGGGGTTACGAAATTTGCTGCATGCAGCTGGTTTCGGCCTCACCGAGGGGCACATTCCTCGATACATAGCCGCCTCCCGGCGCCGGGAGGCGCCGGGAAAATCAGCTACGTGAGCTGATTCTCAAACCCCCCCTTTGCTATCCTCCCTTTTCGCCCAACCCGACAAATGCGAACCTCACCCCTGCCCCCGACGATTTCTGAGGGGGAGGGTGGGGTTCACTTCGCTTCGGGAGCTCCCGGACGGAGTGAACCCCACCCTCCCACTCAGAAGCCAAGGAGGGTAGGGGTAGGGTTCGCGTGTGGCCCCCTATTTTGGTCAGGCGGGGGCGGGCTGAGACAACAACGGCAGTGGGCCTTCGGGGAGAGCTTGCTCGTCGCCACGGCTGGTCGCAGCTCGTAGAAAACATGCGCGGTCGGACAAAGTGGAGGCCCATGCCAGGAAACACCCTGCGTGCCTCCAGTTTTCCCTGGGCTTCTTGGGTTTTTATTGTTTGCCGATGGACAGCGTCACGTTTTCACACGGGTTATGTTTCTTGTAGAAAGTTTCTCGTAGATGGGCCTCCACTGTACCAGGAGTGGGGAACCGATTTTGAGCTACCGCTGGCTCAACTCGCCCTGCTCTGGGTTGGGCAGTCGGTCTTCGCCGCCTGTCGCTGCCGCCGTCGCCGTGGCCGTCGTCGTCGCGACGGCCGACTTCCTTTTCCCAGGTTCTGAAAAATGGCGCGGCGGGGTCCCAAAAAGAAGAACCAACAAACATTGAAGCTTTCGGAGCTCCGCGCGGATTTCTTAGATCTGCGCTGGGGCTCTCGCGGCGCCTCTGGCGCGGCCCCTGGCGCGTTCCGCGCGCCAGGGAGGGGGGCTCAGCGCCGATGCAAGCAATCCGCGCGGACCTCCGAGAAATGATGTTCATGCAGTTTCGTGTTGCTCTACCATCGATCGCCGATAGTGGCTCGATAGCCCCCCCCGATCCCAGGACCGTGTTGATTCGATATCGAGGGCACATCGCCGACCTATCGGCAATGTATCCCCCCCTGCGTAGTCCCTAGTTGCCCCTCAGAGGAGGTGGAGGGCAAGGGGACGTGGAGGGTGGGGCGGGGGGGGGGGACCGCGCAAGCTCCGAATTGGACGACAATATTCCCAATTGGAGGGTGGAGGTGGAGTGTCTTCGTGCGGGGCCGGGCCTCCGAATGTTTACGTTCATGCAGTTATGTCCTTTCTCTTTTTGGGCCCCGTATACGGCTTGCCAGACCAAGCGACAGTCGAACCGGATGGCGCGGCCCACAAACACACACGTCCATTCACATACGCACATTCACACACGCACACGCACACACGCACACAAACACACACACACACATGTTGAGCGTCATGGGTTGGGCCAAGCGGCAGGCCGTTCGAAGGTCACCGCCTTCGCGCGCGCGCCAGCAAATGATGAAATAAGTTTGTCACGCGACGCAGAACAGGCCCAAGTACCGGCCAGAAGTAGGACGGCTATAGGCCAGGAAGACAAGGGCAAAGCTGACGAAGCAAAGCCAGGAGGGAAGCGAGGAGCGAGGAGCGACCGGTGCTGCAGAGGAGCACGGTTCGGAACGAGCGGTAACCCGAAAACGAGGCCAGCAGTTTGAAACAAAACCTAAGCGAACACCCGTTTCCCAGGAATCCTCTGTGTAAAAAACCAATACGCGGAGGTCGGCCGAAAAAATTCCCGGACGTCACCAGGGGAGAGAGGAGAGTAGTATTCATCTTGTGTAATTGTGGAGGCGGGGGAGGGGACACATTACACAGGGGCGGAAAGAGCCATGGCGAGGAACAGACGGGAGGGGCAGAGACGGATCAGTTGCAGACGGAGACCAGCAAGCGTGTCGCATCCACAGGAAGGTTGCACTGGGCGCGCACACACACACACACTCACACTTACACGCAAACACACAAACATACACACAAATACACATAGACACACACACGACAGACGTCCGACGACGGCAGCGACGATCGGCCACCTGTGTGCGTGCCATTCTCTGGGGCGTCAGATCCTAAGCTTCTTATTCAGGCACCTTCCTTAAAGGCCGACGGGCTCACTCTTCACTCTATCTGGGGGGCGGCCCGAAAGCCAATCTGCCGTCAGCGCCCTTCCGCTGCTTCTTCTTTCGTATTCCACTCGACGTGTACTCGTCGTCCGTGGGCACGCATCTGCCCACGCCTTCCAGAATCGTGTTAGCAACTATTTCTCCGACCGGCGAGCGTTAGTCGCCGCCGCCGTCATTCGGTCGGGAGCCCAGGGGGGAATGCAGACTGGGCGGGCCTTCTCAGAAGGCTCGGGAGTCCTCTGGCCTTCTTAGACGTTTTAAACTTGAGAAATTTAAATAGCTCTCTCCGAAGTCGGAACTGGTTTCTGAGAAGCCGGAGGTCCTTTGGGAAGCCTCGCCGTTTTCAGAGAAGGCATGCCCCCTCTCACTTCTCCCCTGGGCGCGCCGCCGAGTCGTCGTGCAAGATTCGAGATGTTGAAATATAGTGCAGTTCGGTCTCGGAAGGTGCAGGCCGTTCCTACTTCAACGGCTGTCCCTCCAGCGCTCATCGTGCACCTAGGCGCTTTTCGAGGCCAGAAAGGGGGCACCGTTCCTTGTGCAGCGGTCCTGGTGGTAGCAGCTTGGTTGCAGGACCAGAGGAGGAAGTCAGGCAGGCCTAGGATTAGGATAAGTCGTTCCAGAGTGCTCTAGAATGCTCTCAGAGCGCTCTGGAACGCTGTGGGACGGCTGTGGCGCCCGATACATCTTCCAGACCCGCCGGCTAACAGAGATTCACGAGGTATCCTCATCCGATGCTGTCCTCGTCCTGCCCTTGTTTTCGGGAGGCTCCCCTTGCCTTCGTCAGGAGCAACTGTTAGGGGGGACAGGCTCAGAGGGGGAACTGCATCGACCCTCAATCACCCACTGATCGCCGATAGGGGTCGTCTGGTTGCCAAGGAGGGCGGATTCGCTGTCCGCGTCCCATCGCCGACCTGTCGCCGATGCATCGCCGAGTCCAGGTCGCTGTTCTCCCCCCCCCTCAGCGCGTCCCCCCCCCCCCTCTCGTGTGCAGCCGAAGGAGGAGGCGGCTAGGGCCACATCCTCCTCTGGCACAGAAGGATGGTGTGCACAGGGTTCCACCCCGCGGAGCCAAAAACAACAACAAACCTCTCGCTGCCCCACGCTCCGCTGCCGCGCCGCGCGCTCGGGGCCCGCGGGCCCCCCCTCCCTGCCCCGCCCGAGGAGCTCTGCAACCAGCAGGCGCACGTGCTGCACCACCCGGGCGGGGTGCCGCAGCCGCTCGCGCTCCAGGGACCGCCCCCCCGTGCGTTGCCACGCCGCCGCTGGGAGCTGGTCAGCGCGTGATCGAGGAAGAAGAAGAGGAGGAGCATCATGATCACAATACGCACAACAGTACACACACTATGAGAGCAATCGTAATGTTCAGAGACTGTGACACAACACGGATACGAGGTGCTGCAATATGCCAATAATGATAATCATGCTCACTCGGCGCGGAGACCCCCATCTGTGCATCTCATAGTGATGGCAAACTTTGGTAGACGAGATGGTCCTTTTCAATATCCGAGTGTCAGCGAATCCACGTGGAAAACGAGACCAAGAGAGACGCAGACGACTGCGACGACTTTAAGTAGTTGCTTCCTCCTTCCGTTCTCCTCCTTCCGTCCTCCTCCTCCTCTTCATCCTTGTCTTCCTCCTCTTTCTCTTCCTTTCCTTACGAACACCTGACAGGAACATCCATCCTGACAGGAACACCAGACGGGCCCGTGTAATGCCCCCTGGCGCCCCCCCATGGGAGTGCTGGAACCAGCGCCTTGCCTGAGACATCCTCGGAAACTGCTCCGAAAGAGAAGGGTGCTGAGCACCCAGACAGGACACCCGCCTGAGACATCCCCCCAAGCTGGGCGCGAACGGGCCCGTGCAATACCCCCTGGCGCCCCCCCTTGGGAGTGCTGAAACCAGCGCCTCGCCTGAGACATCCTCGGAAATTGCTCCGAAAGATAAGGATGTTGGGCTCCCAAACAGGCACACCGCCTGAGACATCCCCCGAATCTGGGCGCGAACGGGCCTGTGATGTACACCCTGGCGCCCCCCCTTTGGAGTAATGAAACCAGCGCCTCGCCTGAGACATCCTCGGACACTGCTCCGAAAGAGAAGGATGTTGGGCACAAACAGGCACACCGCCTATCCAAGCAAGCCACGCCGGTCTCCTGCAGTTTGTGGTTTCTTTGCCAGCCTGAAACATAGCCCTGTCCCTATGAGGGGCATTACCTTATCTCGATGCCGATCTTAAGGATTGCCTCGGTTTCTGAGGACGCATTCATCAGATTGTCGCCGCACTTCGGAGTGCCAATCTTATTTTTGGGCACAGGGGTGAATTCGACGTGTGTTATTGATGCATCATTCTCCCTTCATCCAGACCGTTCGGAGCGCTCTCAGAGCGTTCCAGACCAGCCGCGGCGCCCGATAACCTCGAGAGATGCCAGCTTCATCCTGAGTCGAGGTTTGCCTCACACTGGCTTCGCCTTGCTGTTGCCTGCTGGTCACCCCCCCTCTCTCGGGCTGGAGCCTCTCGGACGGCAGGTATGCTTGCTACCCGCCTGCGTTTGTCCTGCCTCTGGGCCCCCAGGAGACGTTGTCAGACCTGGGATCAGAAAGCTTCCGATTGTCAGGAGTATCAGATGGCATCGTGGAGGGTGTCGGGAGCTTCGGGGCACACGCATGCTTCAATCCGAAAGGAGGTTGGGTTTCCCAGTCTCAGCCGAAGAAGCAACAACTGCATACACATAGCATGCTTGAAGATCTACGCAGGGTTATTGGATCTTCGTTGGAAGCTCTGGCAGGCATGCTCAGGATGAGGATCCGTCGCTTCAGTTCAGGCGAACACGGACAGGCAGTATACGCATAATTGTCGGCGGTCCTCGCGGATTCCTTGGATCGGCGCTGGCCCAATCTTCTTTGGTCCCGCCCTGACTGTGCCCTTGTCGCCTGGGAGCGGGATCCAGCAGCGAGCCCTGGGGTTCGCGCGGGCCTCCGAGAGCATGCGCTGAGCATGCTCAAGTCCTCTCCATCTGCTCAGCCCTGCCCTGAAGGCTGCGGCCGCTCGCTCCCTCGGGCCCGGGCGCCGCGAGCCAACGAAGAGACACCCGTCCCGAGAAGTTCGAGAGAGAGAGAGAGAGAAACGGCCGCTTGGCGCGGGGGGGCGATGGCCGATGGTGTCAGCGGTTCGGTCGGTCTGGTTGCGTTCGTCGGGCGACCGCAACCATGGAGTAAGGGGGCGTGGATTAGCGACGGGCCCCGTTTCCATGGGAAGTCCAGATTTCCGCCGCCGAGCGAGGCGGCACCGGCCGCATTCTGGGGAGGGCAACTCCCCCGATGCAGGGATTGGGCGACCGCGCGCCAGATCCATGGATCGCTAATCCATGTTTGCTCGCCCCGGGGTTCGGCCGGCCCGGGTCACCAGTTTGTCGTGTCGTTGTTGCGCCGCTGCGTCTTGCTTCGGCTGCTTGCGGCCTGTCGACTTTGGTCAGTTTGGGTTCCGCTGTCGGTTCGGTCGGTTTTCGGTTTGGCTGTCGCCGTGAACGGCCTTGGTCCCGGTAGCGTCAACTTCGCTAAATGATTTCGGGAGCGTCCACCAGAGGGGGTGAGGTCTAGCGACTAGCGGGGGTTGTGAGTATCATGGCCGGGGCCATGGAACCTCCCAGACGTCGTGACCCCCGGTTCCTATTTCAAGGCGCTCCTTGGCCCACCCCCCCTCGTCAGCGCACAGGCAGGAGGCCATGATTTGCCGGACCCCTCTCGGACGCCTCCCGACTTCTTTCCAACGCCATCGGAGCAAGTTTCGTCTTGTCCACTGCTCGCCGTGAGCAGCGGCGCGGTCGGGAGAGCGAAGCGGCCCGGAGAGCACCGCAGGACGCCAGGCCTCCCTGTGAAACCGAGCTCGCATCGAAATCCGTAGGAAATCCTCAGGACCGAGAATCAAACGCCGCGGTGCAGGATGCGTCAAATTTCCGCTGGCTGAGGGAGCGGGCTCTTATTTTATAGATTGCTTGGGTTAACCCACCCTTCCCCTCCTCCGCATTCCTCCTCCACCTCCCTCGCCTACATCGCCCTTTCACGAGTACACAGTATCAGTACTGTTCAGGTACTGCCGCCGCTTTCTAAAAAGGATGTTATACGTCTTTTCGTATAGTGTGAAAGAGTGTGTGTTTCAAACGGACTGTTCGTGGTCCTTCAGCAATGATATTGTCGCTGCGGTGGGTATACTCCGAAATTGTCGTTGCGATTCTGCCCAGCGGAATGCCAGTTCTGACGCAAAGTTGTTTTTCGAAGTTCTCGTCGTCCGCCCGTGGTTCATAGTGTAGTATGTCTTCGTCATCATGTTTTCCGCTGCCGATAATTGTTTGTTGTCGTCCTTCTGCCTGGCCTTTCAATATCGTTGTCGTGGTCGGAATGGTTCACCGGCTGTGTTGCCACCTATGCGCCCCGCAGAGGAGGACCATTCCCCCGCCAGGCTTCCCTACGGTTTCCTTCTTTACATGAAAATAGACGAAGTCTGGATCCAATGCCAGGATGGGCTGTCATGAGTGTGTACGAGTATGGTGTGTGGGGGTGCATTGTGATATGGTGTGATCTGTTACATTTCGTTGCCTTGATGTATGCATGGGTATGCTGTGCTGTGCTCTTGGATGTCGTTGCAGGCTGCTCGCTGCTGCCCAATGCAGGGTGCTGCAATGCCATGCGGTGATATGCAGTGGCAGGCTCTGCTACACGAAACTGATCGATGGTATGCCATGCAATGCGACGCTACGTGCTGTCAGAATGTGCCACGCCACGCTGTGATAGGGCCATCAAGGCTACTCAGCCCTGCCGTGCAATGGCACGGCCTTGCACTATGTGCCCCACGCGTGACACGTTGTTGCGGCGCGCGAGTTTCGCGCGTACGTGGTGTAACCTATTCACTTGCGACACACGCGAACGAGTACTGGCCAGCTCGCGTTGCGCACGCAGCGGCCCTGTCCTCAGTCCTCCCTTCCTTTCCGTGTTTGTCGCGTTCCTCCTCATATTTTGTTTTCCGGTCCCAGTCGTCGAGCTCCTCCACGTGGGTTGTCTTCTTGTTCGTTCAATTTTGGTGTTTCCAATGTGTGTGTGTGTGTGTTTGTGTGTCCTTATGTCTCCTCGAATTGTTGATCATCGTCGTCCTCCTCAGTAATCCGACCTCACCCTCCGTCTGTGTTGTCTTTTCCTGTTATCCCCGCTGCCCCCGTCCATACCCCTCCCAGTTCCCCCTCCGTTTCTGACGTGCTCTTTGCTACTATTCTTTATGATCCATGTTTTCTTTGACAAAGTAGTTTTTTTCGGGCTCCATGTCTTCTGCGACACTGGACTCTGCGAATGGACTGGTTCCGCGCGCAATGGCAAGAAATAAGAGGGGTGATATGCCAGATGTGGCGAGAGCGCGCTATTCTTGCCCCGCTTCACCCCCTCCCTCTTCCTTATCCTCCGACCCGCTGCCGCCGCCATACTGGTCATTGCCGCCGGTGCCGCAGCCGTCCCCTCCGCCGTTCGGGAACCTTCATGGGCGGCGGAGACAGGAGCGCCCGCCCGCAGGAAAGGGCTGCGGCGGCGGTGGCGGGGGCGGCGGCGGTTGGGGCGGCTGCGGCGGCTGCGCTGGCGGCGGCTGTGGCGCCTGGCAGCAGCCTCAACAGCAGGCCATGGCGCGCCAGGGAGGGGGGGGGGAAGGCCTGGGAGGCAGAGGGGAGGATGGCGAGGACGAGCAAGAGGGAGAGTGAGGGGAGGCGGGCGAGGACGAGCGGGGAGGACGGGGAGGGCGAGGAGGAGAATCGGTTCTGTCGAGTGGCACGTGGATATGTTTCAATGCTTCGTTTTCGGGGTTACGCAACGTGCTCCCCCACCAGCCCATCCAGAAACGATGCCCAGGGGAGGTGTCTGGATGAGACGCGCAGGTAAGCATACAGAGAAGTGAAGCAAAGATGCAAGAATCGGGGACCTAGAGACCTTGGGGGGGCTCTTGAATCCATATTGGGCCAATGTTGGAAGACCTCTTGGGGCCCTCTTGGGGGCCTTGGATTCTCTTAGGGACCTCTTGGAGGCCATATTGGGATCTCTTGGGGCCCTCTTGGGGACCTTGGGCTTGGTGGCCCTCTCGGCCGCCTTGTGTCCAGACGTGCCGGCGCCGCCGCAACTCTTGCGGCGTGTCCGACTGCATTTTCTTGTCATCAGCCAAGTTTGGCATCTTGTTGCTGTGCACCTGGTGTGTGGTGGGCCTCAGGGGCTTTGTTGGTGGTTACCCCTTGGTCGTTGGAAGTCGGTATCTGGGGATTCCCAGATGCCAATCTACTTGCTTCAAGGGTCGAGAGATGTTACCGCGTCCCTCCTCCGCAGGGGGCGGGCGTGAGCCCAATCTGCTTTTGGCGCCTTCCTGCTTCATGCTCGTGCCTACCTTTTCCGACCGACGGGCATCGTGGAAGCCATCGGTCAAAGGTCAAAGGAGGGGGGGCGCTAAGCTCGGCCCTCCCCCCGTCAAGGCCTTCAGAAGTCGCCTCCCGGGACGCTCGTTGCGTTTTTCGGGGACCGCCTCTGCTCGCAGGCCTAGAGGTTGACACCAACACCAATTTTGGTGGTGTGCCTCCACCGAGGGAAGAAGAACCCGATCTCGGTGATGGTGGTAATTTTCTGGCTTCCAAGGGAGGCGAAATATTACCACCAACACCGAGATCTAGGATCATCTTCCCCATGTGGAGGCAATCCCCTGTGTTGGTGTTGGTGCCCATTTCTAGGCCCCCAATCTGCGAACCCTTCTGCGTCCCACGCTGGGGCTCTCCTAGGCCTGCTCAGAGCCGCCTTGACGCGTCAGACGCTCGTCCGCGTTGGGGTTCGCTTTGGGCCTGCTCCGAGCGACCCTGACGCGTCAGAAGCGCGTCGGAAGCTCGTCAGAAGGCGAGAAGGCCAACAACAGGGATTGCGAAAGCCTTGCGGCCGGCGCCGCCGACCCTGGACGACGACGACGACGACGACGACGCAGGGAGTTCCTTTCCAGGTTTTTGGACTGATTTTGGCCTCTCGGAGGCGTCCCTGGGAGGCTCCGAGGGCACTGCGCGTTCCTGGAACCTCTTGGAGGCACGCTGGAGATCATCTCGAACCAAGACAGGATATCTTCGATCATCTTGGATGCCCTCTCAGGCTATCTGGGCCTGTCTGAGAACGATATTGGGCCATCTTCTTGGATGCTCTGACCTCTCGTGGGGGGAAGGTTTCAGACCCAGTCAGAGGAGGTAGGGGGAGAGGTAAACCTCTTCCGAAGGGGAATGTCAAGGTTGCTACAAATATATAGCTCGCTATGGGATTGGTCGGATCGTGCAACGTCAGGGGGTGATAGGCTCAGGTGGGGACGCATCGACCCCGAATCGCCCCCTCCTCGCCGATGGAGAGCCCGACCCACCCCACCCAGGAACGCGCGGTCGCAATATCGGGGGCCTGTCGCCGAGAAGTCGGCGACGCCTCGCCGATTCCAGCTGGATGTTCCCCCCTGGAGCTGGTCGCCCCAACGTCGCCCGTCTGAGGAGGGACGAGAGGAAGGAGGGGAGGGAGGGAGGAGGAGGAGGAGGGGACGGAAGAGGGCGCGGAGGGGGAATGCGGAGGACCGGGGTGAGAGAGAAGTTTTCAACACACAGATGCGCACATTGCCTGTAATTGCGACTGGCCGACCGGGCAGGGGGAGGGGGCGGACGAGGCGGGAGGGAGTGAGGAAGAGGAGGGGAGGGCAGAGGCGGCCGAGCAGTAGGAGGGGAAGGGGGCAAGCCCCCCCCCACGATCCCCCCAACGCTGACCCCCCCCCCACCAGTCGATGATCCTGATGACTGGTGTTGGCCCAAGCGCGAGGTAGCCCAAGCCTCGTGGCATCTCTCGGACGTGTGCATTTTTTCTTGGTAGGACCATCAGAGAGCATCCTGGATCATCTAGCCAAAAAAACAAATGCGCGAAACCGACCGGTGCACGGGGAATGGACGTCCGAGCGATGGCCAGGCGTCTGTGTACCCTGCCGACAGCGCGCAGCCTGTGTCGTCCCATGCCGCGCCGCCCTGCGCCGCACTACTGAAGGGCCTCTGTGGGTAGGCACAGGTTGGCGCTAAGCCACGCAGCCGGTGCTTCGAGTTTCGAGGCGCGGGCCCCCGAATCCTCGACCCTCTCCCCTGGATTGGTTTTCGAACCGTTTCTTGACGGCCCCGAGGCCCTGAGAGGGCCCCGAGAGGCCGAGAACCATGAAAACCTTTCTCTCGATAGTTTCGAGACGCCAGATGTCGGGGAGCACACGTTCCGAGGATCGTTCAGGGGCAAAGATGGGGGGGATGGGCATAATTGGGAGACGCAACGACCCCCAGTCGCCCATTGATCGCCGCTAGGGTCTCGATAGCTCCCACCTGCCCAGGAACGTGCGGAGTCGATAAGCGGGGCCTGTCGCCGATCTATCGGCGATGCATCGCCGATTCCATGTAGATGTTTCCCGCCCCCCAATGCCTACGGTAGGTTCGCGTCGTTTCGACCGGCGGCGACCCCGCCGCGGGCGTTCAAGGTTGAACGCCGCTGGTGACCCAGAATCGGCCAACATTCAACGTTCGGGCGATCGAAACGCCGCCGATCGTTCTCAAGGAGGAACGATCCACGCGGTCTCAGAAGCCACCGCCGGGGTCGTCACGACACGAGCCTGTCGTATCCTTATGATGTTCCAACCCTCTTTACAGAAAAAGTCTTGAGCACCAAGGAGGTACCGAAACTGGAGGGTTTTCGCGTGTCGGGCCCTGGGAGGCGATACGACATTGCTTCGATGTTGTCTGGGTGCTCGGAATTATTCCTGGGATTTTGTCCCTAAGTACGATGGGGGCAACATAGCCGTATCCCCCCCGATAGTTGCCCCTCCATCGTCCAACCGCGGAGGTAGCCGCCTTCGCCGGCGCCGCCTGCGGCGGCTTCCGGGCACCGCCCGCCCGCGGCGGCTTCCTGGCGCAGCCCGCCGTGGCGCCAGGGGGCGCCTGCCCGCGCGCGACCTGGCAAAGGTAGGCGCGCGCGCGTCTCAGAGCCCGGCCGCGCGGCCGGTGGCGCCGGGGTGGGCGCGGCGGGCCGGCGGAGGAGGAGGAGGAGGAGGAGGAGGAGGAGAAGGAGGAGGAGGAGCAGAAGGAGGAGGAGGAGGAGGAGGAGGAGCAGGAGGAGGAGGAGGAGGAGCAGGAGGAGGAAACGGTACTTACCCTTTATCGCTACCCTCCCGTTGTTTTCGCATTTTCGGGCCTCCTCGGGAGGCTCTCGTCGCCACCGCTGGACGCGCCTCGAGAGACAGAGAGGTCCAGGGAGCAGCGGTAATTTTCGGTACCTCTAGGTTCCCCCAGGGGGGGCTCGAGGAGGGAGAGGGGATCGTGTCGCATCGAGTCGGCGGGGGAGGAACGCCGAGAACCGCAGCGCCGTCTGGGGCCCTGTCAATAGGATGGCTACTTGGCCGGAGCACGATGCTCAAAGAACAGGTTTGTAGCAGTAATTGTATGCCGCCCTGCCCACGGCGGCTGGGGTAGAGGTGGGCGAAGAGGAGAAAATGAGGGTGAGTAGTGCAAGGAGTGCGAGCGGAAGGGGGAGGGGGGGAAGGAAGAGTTGGAGAACGAGGAGGAGGGGTAGAAGGAGGAGGAGGACGACGAGGAGGAGGAGGAAGTGGAGGAGGCCGAGGAGGAGAAGGAGGAGGGCGAGAGGGGGGGAGGAGGAGGAGGAGGATGAGGAGGAGGATGAGGAGGAGGAGGAGGAGGAGGAGGAGGACGGATGACCATTCGGACGGAGGAGGGCGAGGAGGAGAAAGCGAGGAGGAAGAAGCGGGATATTGCGAGAGTAGGAGAGGGAACAGGCGAGGAGGGGGCGGGAGCAGGACGGACACGACGTGGACGAGAGGGGATTTCGGAGGAGAAGCAATTGGAGGAGAGGCAAAGCGGGGGACGGTCGAGGAGGCGCTGAGTACCCTCCAGGGAGCTCTCGAGCTGTCCACCTTGTTTCCTGCTGTCCCCCTCCCAGGAGGAGGAGGTGGAGGAGGAGGAGGAGGAGGAGGAGGAGGAGGAGTTGGAGGAGGAGGAGGAGGAGGAGGAGGAGGAGGAGGAGATGGAGGAGGAGATGGAGGAGGAGGAGGAGGAGGAGGAGGAGGAGGAGGAGGAGGAGGAGCTACCACGCTTCGATTTCGCGGGTGCCTAGAGGTGGGTCTGCCCGGAGCGATGCTGTGGTGGAGATTATACCGCTAGAAGGAGTGAGCAGGAACATGAGGAGGAGAAGGAGGGCATGGCCGTGCCGCGCTATGACGCGACGCCCCCCTCCCCCCCAGAGCAAAAGCACGGGTGTTTTGGCGTCGCCTGCTGTCTGGACCCATTGGCGCTCAGTGCGAACATTGGACAACACAGACGGTTTCACAAGCGGGCAAGCCAAGAACAGGTTTGCGCAAGCATTCTTTCAGTATAGCATTTCATTCCATTCCCTATCTTCTGCCCCCTTTCAATTAACTAGTATTCTAAATCCGCAATCCTCTCCTTTCATCCTCCCGGGTCGTATTGGGGCGCTCCCCTTTTGGCCGTCAGGGGGGTCTCTTCGGGCTGTCTTGGGAGCGTTTTGGAGCCCACGTTTGCCATCTTGGGGCCCTCTCGGGTTGTCATGTGCCCCTCTTCGGCAGTCTTGGGATCCTTTTGGAGCTGTGTTGAGCTGTCGGGGGGCCTTTCGGTTATCATGGTTCGGCGGTTCGGATCTTCCGAGGCTCTCTGAGACCCACCTTGAGCAGAGAGAGAGAGAGAGCAGATGCCACGCAAAATATTCAAAAACCTAGTCATAGCAACGTGTTTCTGGATGATTTGGGCACTGCTGGACGGCCTGCTGTTCGGCGTTCGGGGAACATCTTGGGGGCCCTTTTTGCACGCAGCGTGGGTAGGGGTGGAGGGTAGTGCGCGCTGCGAAGCGAGAGGGGATGAGGGAGGGCCCCCTAGACTCAGCAGAAGCCCTGCAGTCAGTACATTTGGATGTACATCTGCATACTTGTATACAAATTTATATACCTTTATGGGCGTAAACATGCATGTATGTACACATGCATGTCTGCCTGCATCATTCATACATATAGGTGCATGCGTACATGTATACATACATATATATGTATATATGTATTATATATACACGCCCAAGTGTGTGCATATATGGGTAAACTTATGTTTTTTTTTGTATTTGTATATGTGCATGCGCAGCACTTGGCATCGTGCGCGCCTTGGCTTTCAGCAGACACGGCGGTACTGAAGCGGATCGGAAGAAGGATCATAACAAGGGGAAGGGCGAGAGGGGGAGTGGGGGAGGAAGAGGAAGAGGGTGACAAAGAGGAGGAGGAGGAGGAGGAGGAGGAGGAGGAGGAGAAGGAGGAGGAGGAGGAGGAGGAAGAGAAGGAGGAGCAGAGAAGGAGGAGGAGAGAAGGAGGAAGATCGGGGGACGCTGGAGTAGGTCGAGGGGAGGCTGGAGGAGGAAGCGGAGGAGGGTACAGCCAAGACGCCGAGACCAGGACTGCGTGGGGGCCTGGCGGGGTCCTGGCCTCCGGGCCGCTGCTCAGGTCCAAGACGGGAGACTTGCCAGCCGTGGCCAAGGCCAGCCGTGGCCTGACCCCTGGTTCTCTTCGGCCGTCGTGGAGCGTCGGCTAGCCGAGAAGGCGAGAAGGCAAATCTCTTCCAAAAACCATGGAAACAATTCAAAATCTTTGGCCTCTGGGGGCAGGCGTCGGGCCACAGGGGGGGCTGCCGCGCCAGGACCTCCCCGCGCGCCCCCGGCCGGGGGGGGGGCGCGCCTCGGCGGGCGGGCGGGCCCTTGGCGGCGACGGCCGCGGCCGCCTCCCCGCGCGCCGCCGCGGCCAGGGGGGGAGGCGGAAAAGGGCGCCGCCCGCCGCCGCCGCCGCGGCTCCGCCGCTCGGAGGAGGAGACGCGAGCAGCGGCGGAGCGTCCTGGCTCGCCCAGGGGCCCATCAGGCAATGCTTCAAGGGCCTTTTGTGGTTTGCACGGGATCTTCCTAGAATGAGCACTGCTTCTGTACTTAGTGGGTTCTAAGAAAATTTCGTGGTAGGCCTAATTATAGGAATGCCGGGACGGTCGGTCCCTGCTCAAGAGACAGGTGGTCGGATTGGCGATATCCAGGCGTGTTCGCATCGTGAAAGATCGTGTCGGAAGGTTGTTGGCCGTTCCGGGCCTTTGGTGTCCTCTTTCTTGGGCCCCATTGGCTGTCAAATATCGGCTCGAGCGGTGAAACACCGGTCCCGAGGGAGTGGTCGGGACCTTTGGGAGTCGATTTGCGGGAAAAGAACACGTCTGGAGGTCGATTTTTCGAGCAGAACTGTTCAACATGACCGAAACCCTTGCCTCGTTCGCCTTTCGGGCCTCCTGGGATACCCTCGTCGCCATCGCTGGATTCGCCTCGAAATTCGGGCCAGAACGCACCCGTGGAGATGTTTGGGGAGAACTGGTATCGATACCTCTGTTCCCCCCAGCTGCCCCGTCGAGGGCGGAGGCGGGGAGGAGGCGGGGAGGAGGCGTGGAGTTGGAGGAGGAGGAGGAGGAGGAGGAGGAGGAGGAGGAGGAGGAGGAGGAGGAGGAGAGGAGGGGGGAGGGAGGGAGAGGGGGAGGAGGAGGAGGAGGAGGAGGAGGAGGAGGAAGAGGAGGAGGAGGAGGAGGAGGAGGAGGAGGAGGAGGAGGAAGAGGAGGATGAGGAAGAGGAGGAGGAGGGAGGAGGAGGAGGAGGAGGAGGAGGAGAAGGCGAAGGCCAGGAGGGTCGGGAGGCGGGTGCCCGTGGAAGCCAGAGAGGCGTGGTCTGCGTCTCGGGTTCCGCTGCCTCGCTCATGGCCAGAGCGATGCCAGGATGCCCTTTGGAGGCTGTCTGGATTTTGTCCGCAGGTGTCTGGGATGCTGTCAACACCACACCGCTCACCCTCTGGATCTTCGCCTCCGGCTCCTGTCCAAAGCGTTCCTTTTCCTGCGCAAATTCCTCGGCACCGCCTGCACCCCGGCCCGCCCTCCGTCCGCCTGAGGCCCCGGTCGCCTGTGCCCTGTCTCCCCAATTAGTGCTGTGCGTAGCCCGCCTAGCTTTTACCGGAAGAGGTTCGCTCTCGCCCCTCAGACCAAAAAAGTGTCTGGGATGTTGTCAGGGTATCCATCGGTCGTTGAAAGTAGGTATTTCGTGATTCGCATATTCCAATCTGTGTCAAGCGCCTTCCTGTCTCAATGATCGAGTGGCTTCACCTTTTCCGTCCTACTTCATGTTTCCACATACTTCTTGCGACCGATGGGTACTGTCGCGCCGCTGTCTGATGTACTGTCTCGGTGCCGTCGGATGCTTGCACGCGTCCGTGGTTGTCTCGGTGTTTTCTATGGTGTCTTGTGATACGTCGGTTGTTCGCTGAGGTGTTGGCTGAGTGTTGTCAGTATGCCGTTCGGGGGAGACTGTCTTACTGCCGTCTGGGGTGACGCCTGGAAGCTGTTTGGGTGTTGCGCGAGTGTTGTCTGAGGGCCAGCTGCGTGTTGTCTGAGGTTTCACATGGCTGTTGTTTGGAATGTGGTTTGTGCGCTGCAGCCAAGTTATGCTGTATGGATGCCGGCTGCATGCTATATGTATTTGCTCCGGGGTATTGATTCGGAGCCATGTGTAATGTTGTCTCGGTGCTGCGTGGGCTACTGTCTGGGTACTGTGTTGGAGTTGTCTGAGTGCTGTCTGGATGCTTCACGAGAGCTGTCCAGGTTTTTGTGTGTTTGCTTGTGTTTGCTATACTGGTGTTGTTTGGGTGCAGTTTGTACAACACATGGCATGGCATTTTCAGATTGGCATCTGAAGTCTGTGTGTGTGTTCTCGTTGTATCGGCTACTGTCTGCGCACGGCTGGTGCACTGTCAGAGAGTTCCCTGAATGTTGCCAGGGACGATGTGCATCTGATTTTGTAAGTTATGCTGGATCCCTCTTGGTGCTTGTTGGCGCACTGTCAGTTCACTGATCGGGTGTTGCCTGATTGTTATATGGGTTATGTCCGTA